GTTCAGCCTGGAGAAGAGAAGGCTCTGAGGAGACCTTATAGCAGCCTTCCAGTACCTGAAGGGGGCTACAGGAGAGATGGGGAGGCACTCTTGATCAGGGAGTGTAGTGAGAGGACAAGGGGTAACGGGTATAAGTTGAAAGAGGGTAGATTTAGACTAGACATTAGGAAGAAATTTTTCACTGTGAGGGTGGTGGAGCACTGGAACAGGTTGCCCGGGGAAGCTGTGGATGCCCCATCCCTGGAGATGTTCAAGGCCAGGCTGGACGAGGCTTTGAGCAACCTGGGCTAGTGGGAGGTGTCCCTGCCCATGGCACGGGGGTTGGAACTTGATGGTCTTTAAGGTCCTTTCCAACCCAAAACATTCTATGATTCTATGATTCTAATGGCCTGAAAAAAAGCAAAATAGAAGACCAAGGGAATCAGAACTATGCGACAGAAAGCTAAAGTGAAAAATCTGAACTTGTCAGCTGAAGGCATATTTGAAACCTTTTTTTTTCTCCTGCAGTCAATCATTTCATCTGGCTCCTCACCCCAAAACAACACTTTTACTGATTTTCTTTATAGTTTATTTTACCACATTTTTTGCCATCCTACTTTTTGCCTCCCTTACAAAGATTAAGATATAGAAGTCCTAAACCACAAACATTCAGGTAGAATTTTTATTCCTGCTAGCAGCAGCCTTAATGGCTTCTCTACATATTGATAGACATCAAAAGCAAATATATTTCAGGAATGTATGCCATATGACAAAGATAATACTCCTTCCCTGGAACAGGCATGAATTTTACCTTCATTATCCTGAACAGTGAAGTTAGGATTAACAGCAGCTAAACTGAAGAAAAATTTTTGTCCACCAAGAGGGTCATCTTTGTCTACTGCACTTATGGTTTGAATAAGCTGCAGGAAAAAAAGCAAGCAAACAAACAACAAGAAGACCAAATACACCTTGGTTTTCGATACAGCTGTCTGATTACTTTAAGAAGACTAGAGGTGTTAAGACAACTTCATATTCAAACTACACACATATTGACTGAATACTTAATCTGTAGAAAGTATTAACTGAACAACTGTTAAAGAAGCATATCACAGAAATTTTTCTAACAAGAGCATCCATACATGTTTCATGTGGTAGTACATTTACAAGTATAAAATGTCCAGGTTCTACCATCGTCCTCTGCTATTTCTTTTTTTTTCAATACATATTTATATGTTTTTGTAACCACACAGAAGACAAAACTTGCAAAAAATAGTTTTATCTGTAGTTTAGGTCGCCTTTATTCTTAATCTCTGATCCATAATTTTAAGTTCAAGTCAACACTTAAGACAGGAATTAAGAGGATGTTTTATATTTTTTGTGCTAAAAATGGTATTTAATCAATTAGCTGTTTCTGATAGGGAAGTTCAAGTTTCAATTTAAATTTAAAAGTAAAAACATTTGTTTTGAAACCAAGATTTCTCTTTTTATTAGTATAGCAAAATACACTAACAAGATTCCTGAGATAAAAAATGCCAGTTAGATGATATATATCTCAACTTTTGAAAAACATTGTAGCATACTCTATAGAGATGTACCACCCCAGAGTGCAAGAAGAATCTGGTGCCACAATTCTCAGAGTAAGCTGTAACAGGTCAGTTCAATACTTGTATTGAGTGCTTTCTGCAATGCCTGCAAAAAAAGTTTGGGTATTTTTGGGGGGAAGTTATGGCAAGACCTTTGTCAACATGTGTTTATCTGTCAGGTAAATGAAAGTATGGCTTTTTTTTTCACTGAAGTTTCTATACCTACAGGTGGCAAAATATCATTTCCCAAATTAAAAATACAATTTTTTTGACATATTTATTGCTTTATTTCAGACTGGGGATTTTCATACCATAGCAATAAAAACTGTACCTATGGCTGAATTTCTGTGCATGCATGTGTGAATGTTCTTAAGCTGAATTTCCAAAAACAGGTTAATCCTTATCCTAAGTAGTTTTTCTTCTTTATTTCTAATCCATCATTTTAAATTGCAGTGTTTTTTCAAGCATGGACTTACATCTAATTTTTGACACTACTCCTTCCCTGTGGCATACTTGTTAAACCCTGTTTGTTTTTCCTCTTCCAATTCTTCCAAATACAGCCATTTCTCTCCATATCACAGCTTTTGTCAGGACTGATCATTTTTAACGTCAACAACTGCAATGTACTCCTGTTTGCCTTAACAAATGCATGATTAACTCCCAACTTCACTCGTCCATCCAGAATACAGCAACAAATTTCTTCCTGAGGCAAGGACTGGATTACTTTTAATGCAGTAGCTTGCTTTCTCAAAGGGAGTTTTTTCTTTCTCTAAATTTGTTTTCTTACATAAACCTCCAATAACATACTAGATGAACAAAACAGATAATACAAGCATAGAATATTACTTGTTTTTAAGTAATGAACCTTTTAATTGCTTAGTAAGTTAATTAGCAAATAAATCTTTAGAGATTTTTACAATATTAAGTCAAGAAAACACTAGTCTATTTTACTTCACAACTGGAGACCATGAATGCAGTCAGTTGTTTGTGTTAAGACGATGAAAATCAACTCTTCCACTTCTGAGTGTCCATACTCATAGTTTAAAAGCAATATGAAGAAATTTTTATAGCCTAAAATCTTCTACAGCTTACAGGGATTATTCACCTTCTACAGTACTGCTGACATTTGTAGACCCTTAGTAGAACAACGAACAGCAAGAAAATACCTCCTATTAATTCCCCCACTCATCATTTGTTGTAGCAATTGAAATTCTCTGGGAACTGCTCTGTTCGAACACTGATCATGTTTAAACTTAGTTGTGGGGGTTTTTTGTTGCAAGCATAATTTAGATTTTAAAATGCAAGGATAATTTAAAAATGCCATCAAACTTTTGTCTGACTAAATATCATTGAATTTCAAGTTACTTACTGACACATTTTTTTAAAAGGCAAAGTTTTAAGGATTATCTTAGTGAAATAATGAGTTTAGATACATTGTCACATTCACAGCACCTCCAAATTAAATTGTAAAATACATCACAGACAAAAGCATTATTTTCTTTGCTATTCTCAATTAGAACCTAAACTATTAAAATATATATATAT